ACCCCCTTCTCCGCTGCTGTTGGCAGTTTTTGCGTCTGCTGTGCTGTCCTTTGCGTACCACTTTTGTAGCAGGTTTCGGTCGTCAGTGCTCGTTTGYGCCTGCTGTAGTATGTCGGTGAAAATATCTTCGTCGATGTGCGTCGGCAATGGCATGGGACCGATGCTATCGCCGATAAGTGCCTATAAAAGCAATTGAGGAGAGAAAATGATAATTTGCAAATTGCATTAGAAGAGATTTTTCTCTGCTAGCGGCAGAGCTTATGCTTCGGTACTTTTATGTGCGGGTGTGTGTATGGGGATTTATGTAGTTGGCGCGCACTTACCAGGAAAAATACACTTTTCGAATTGTTGTAGCAAGTCTCGATTTCATGCAGATAGTCATGGAGTATATATGGATCTTGTTCGACTTGCATAATTTGCAACGGCCCAGTGCCGAAGTGCATGTCGACAATTTCAATCTGAAATGGAAGTTATTTTTGTAYGTAAATATGGTATAAACTACGCGTAAGGGGTTTCTACGCGAGTAAAGAAAGATAAGTAAGAGMAAAATCCATTGCAAAACTTAAAAACAAGTATTTGACTGAAACATTTACCTCAATTTGTCTGTCATCATAAATAGACTGTAGCTCGGGGCCCACTAGTTCCAGAAGCATGCGTCGCTCTTGGCAGAATTCTAGAGAAATTGTCGGAAAAAAGTATAAAAAACATATTGGTTTGAAATCGGATAGAAAGCAGAAAGTAAGCATTTCCACAATTTAAAAAWAAATTGGACTAAACTTATTACAGTTCCTCTCTAGAGGCTACTATATCATTTGTTTCATCGAGAAAACTTGGAGAAAAATTGAAACAGTTAGCTACCAATGTCTAAAGTTCACGCAATTGAGAAAAGTTCTCTGAGCGTCATTCAATTGGGAGTGACCAAAAATGATAATTTTACATCTAAAATCAAGCAGCTCACGACTTCCGGTCTTAGACCAAGTATCCTCTGGGTAGTAAAAAAACATCAGTTTGAAGGCGAGCTAAAGTGGGTAGACGAATCATCCCCCGGGGTGTGAGCTAGGCTTGGGTCCCGTCAAGGAAAAAACGCCACCAACGAAAAAGAACAAAAAGGAAGAAAACCCCTACTTTTGTTGACGACTACTGCAAAAGTATGAAGGATTAAGAGACCTAAGGGCATGCACTTGTAATGTCCGATCCTTTAACTGAGAAGGTGCCGCTGCCCGGGTGATTGATACTTCCGTAAGGGTAAACCACTGGCCAAGAAGTGCGGTCGATGGGACAACGACTAAGACGAGTAGGTCCTTGTGGTATTTACTATAGTGGTCATATAAAAGAGCGCAAATTCGGTGTGGGGCTCGTGGTGGAAGAGAGACTCCGTCGCCGAACCCAGGCATTCACCCAGATAAAAGAACGTTTGGCCACAATCCATATAAAAGCGAAGCTCTTCAACATATCGCTGATTTGCGGCCGATCCCGACTAAGTGACCAAATATGCCTTTTATGAGCGCTTGGAGCTCACATATGAGAGCAGCGTGGGTAAAAAATAGCTAGCTGGCTGCCTCCGAATCGAAAAGCCACCAACCAGATCGATCATGTTGAGATACGTCTCCAGTGGTTTAGACGTGCGTACGCTCTGAAAAAACGCACGTCAACAAATACAAGAACGGTTCGACGTCGAGAAGCTGCAATCACAACAGTCGACTTGCATTCCTGATCTCTGAGGTATAAAGCAAAAGAACAACTGCTACGATGAGGAGTGGCGAGTCGCAGCGGAGTGAAAAAAGGCTGCCTACCTCGCAACGGTACGATCGACCATAACAYGTGCGGAATGGGTTAGATATCGAGAGTTGAAGAGGGAAGCGAGACGTTTTTGAAGACAAAAAAAAAAAAAAGAGAGGCTGAATCGAGTGAGTATGAAGAGATTGACAAGCTGATCGACAGGGGTAATGCTCAAAAGTTCTACGAAAAGATATGGCGACTAACGGAAGGGTTCAATACCGGAGCATACTTTTGTAGAATCCGCAGTGGTGATCTAGAGACAAATGTGCAGAGCATAGTTTAATTATGTAAGGAACACTTCTTCAACCTGATGAWTGGCAGTGAAAGCATAACACCAGACAGTGAACGCCATTCCCCAATCGAAGATAATGGAGAGGTTCGTAGTTTCTTAATATCAGTAAATTAAATTTACTGTACGTGACTCCTCTAGAAATATCCCATTATTTTATTTGAAATTAGTTTTCGTCCTTGTCTTTATCATCTTAATTTCTCATGTGTATACCTCTGTGCTGAAAACTTATTYGTTATGTTCTGAGAGGCGGCTTTTTCTAGCATTCTTTGGTGGMATGAATCCGGTTTTATTCGAAAGATATTCAGGCTGGTTTTAAGGATTATTTAGAATTGAGTATCTTAAATCGCGGCCATTGATATAAGGTAATTATAGAGGAAAAGTTTATCCTACACAAAAGGTTGGAAAAAAAGTTCTGCTCTTTGAAAGTAGTAAAATCTAAGTTGAATAAATCAGTTTTCAGATAAAAAAAAAAAAAGTCAAAGCAATCGAATAAATTCTGGCTTTGTTTACGGAAATTATTTATAATCTAAAGCTGTGTTCAGATTGCGAGATAACCAACGAATTACTGGTTAAATAAAGTCCTAAGCCAATAAGCGATAAAAATAAAGTGCAAAATGGAAAGAAGCAAACAACAACAACACATTGGCTATGTGCGTACTCACCCTCCTTCAAGCTGGACACATAAACTTTGATGAGCAACGGCTTGGGCAGACGTGTGTTTTTGCTTGCTATGCCGCGCAAAGCGCTCAGCACGCCCTCATCGATGGGCGCGGCCATGTTGCGTGCCACGAAGACTCCTACGGCGGGGCTGCTCGGCAAGCACAAGTATTGTTTATCTCCACGCGCTGGTTTTTTTGGTGTTTAGCCGCCCTTATCGGTTATATTTGTYGCAGTTTTAATATCCCTCGTTATTGCAGGGCAAAAAATCTAAATCACTATTTAATTGCATGCGCATGTGTTGGTTGTATATATGTGTCTGCATAGCTCGGCGTCTTGTTTTTTGCTGTCGTTGCGGCAATTCCAATAGATTATATCGACATTCAACAGATGTTGCTGCGGCTGATTATTTTATACATACCCATACGTTTGCCTTCTCTTTAAACCAATGCTGCGCTCTCATTTATTTGTCTCATGCTTTTGCGTTCCATATGTGTATGAGTGTGTGTTTGAAATGGTAATGTCTGCAGCGAAACGGCACACCTCATAATAACTGTCGTTTACGCGTGTGTATGTGCATGTTTAATATTTTATTGATGTTTTCTCCAGTTGGCGTTTAAGCAATTTTTATTCTCCTGCCAGATTTCGAAAAAAAGAATCTCGGTTTGTATCCGCACCTGTAACTAAAAGTAGMAATATCGAAGATAAGTTTGAGTTTATGTTTACTCGTAAAAGATGCATGGCAGTTAATGAAAAAATTTCTGAAAGCTAGTAGGAGGAAGAAACATTATATTCAATATTTCCAAAATTTATTAATACTCCGCAGCGATTGGTAAACTTTTACGAGTTATTATTGTGTACTCTTTTTATGTCTCAGCGCAATTTATTTTCGCCGAAACTTTTCAAATTCACCCTGGCCAAGTATATTTTTATTTTGAAAATATTGAGATGAATG